GTTCCAAAAGTGACAGAGAAGAATGAATTAAAAATTCAGAATATATTAGTAGTTTTGAATGTATTGGTTAATTTGGTTTATTGTTGTGCATTTGGATTTTGAAATATGAATATTCTTATAGGAGGAAAAAAAAAGAACCGTGGAATTGAACCGAACCAAACTAGTTTCTTACGGTTTGGTTTGGTTTCTTTTGTCAAATGGTTCGGTTTGGTTTTAAATTTTCTAGAACTGTTAAGATCGATTTGGTTCCAAAAAACTCTCAAATCGAACTGTAAGCATTCCTACCAAAATTTTAAAGGCTTTAAATGGCCCATTTGGGTTTCATTTTGTTCGGAAAAGAGTCCTAGACTTTATTTTAAAACAATTTTCATCTCTTGGGACTTTCTTGGACTCTATCTTGACCTCACACCGGTAATTCGCACGCGATTTTTTTAAGTAATTGTATGGGTTTTAACAAAAGATTCTTGGATTGAACGGGTGGGTTCGCCAATTAATGCAATTTGATTTTATTGGTGTTTAACAAATGAGGGTGTTTTTGGTATTTAATTTTTTTTTCATTTTTTACAAGAACCGATTCCCGAGAGCTTCTTTTATAAACCCAGTGGTCTCATCTTATCACAACATACCTAAAGGCAAAGTTTGTTTGCCTACCCAAATACTATTTGCTCGACAATGAATCTTCTGATTATAACAATGTAAGATTCTCATCCTGACTTGATAAAATAAATACTACGAATAACGTATACTATCTTAGAAAACCCACTTGAGATCATATCGAATAGTTCACTTTATTTAGAACCTCTTTACCATAAACTTCCAAAGAATAATTGTCATATATCTCTTTAAATATAAGATAAAACTAGTGTACGTGAATTAACAGTACCACACTTCTAATAATACTTCCACTACTACTATCAATGAATATCACTCTTAAAAGAGCATTCATCCTTGAACTCCGGTACCCTCCCTCTTAGATGATCCGGTAGCTCCTCCATCAGGATATTCTTCGAAATCCTCCCCTTTGCTTTTTTATCGCTTTAAAAACTGATGCCGTTGTGTTAGGTCCGCAATACAGTGGCCAATCACGTACACTTGAAATTTTCCTTGGCTTATACTTTGAAATAGCATTTATCGGAAACGAACCATTGGTCTCTAATTCTGCCTTCTGGATCTCCTCTGGCAGAGGGGTCTGGGACTTGGTTTATATGTTTTGGAGTTCCAGAATTTGTTCTAATCTATATTTAACTAATAATTTCTTAGCATATTGTTAATTATCTCATGTCATATTAGTATACGGGTTGTTATATCTTAAATATCACACGAAGCATATATTTACAAATATGCTTTCGTTGCGGACCCCATCCTCTTCCTAGTGCCAGCCATTCTGTAATCACAGAATAAAATTGACATCAGTACATTCTAATGGACCAAAAATATGATATAAGGAATTCTAATACTTAGGCTCTAAATATGAAGAGACGTTGCGCGAAAGTCACATAACAAAGACACCCTAGGGACATTTGAATCTGGAGTGCTCTGATACCAATTGTGATAGCCCTAGATTTTCACGTGTAGGTTAGCTAGGCCCATAGCCGAAAGCTTAGGGATATCAAAACAATTAGGTAATAATCGAACATATAATACAAGAGGGAATAAAATAGAATAAATAATAATGCTGAAAGAAAACTAAATTAATAAATATAATAATATCTTATACAAATTTTTCGTATAATAAATAATGAATCTCCAATATACAACTCGGGAATTCGAATATCATGGACCCCTAATAAATCTCATGCTGAAAACAATGTCTAAGTTTACTGAATAGTAAATACATGAACTAAATCAATTGAGTGAAGATGATTTAGTTAACCAGATAGTGAGTATCTCATGCAAAGCGCACACGAAGTGGTCATAAGTCCTCCATCTACAAGGGCACACATATCCCTATATCTAGTTACCCATCTCAACCAGTAATATATGCCTCCTCCCTAACCACTAATCATGAGACCTCAAGCTCGTATCATGGTACCCATAATGACGATATATATAACTATCTACCTTGCCATGTCCCTGACAATGGTACAACAACGTAAAAGCTACTGTAACCATATCCTAACAGTGGTACGACCACATATAAAATATTGTAACCATATCCTGACAATGGCACAATATAACAACCTAGCTATATCCTGATAATGACGTAAATAAAATGACTCTAACTTAATAGCCGATCCCCCTATACTCAACAATACCAAGACTATATCCTGACAATGGTCCCATATAACAACATAAATAGATCATGTATAAAATCATATAATATCATCGTGAACATGAATAAAATTATTCTATCATGTATCGTAATTATTGTATGAAATACATAATAATAAATCACGGTAATAATTTATAAGTCATTAGTCCGTTTCCTTACAACTTGATAACTAAAAATACAGCCATAAACATTCTGATCATGCATACATTTAGCAACTATGATGATTATTATCATAGTTCATGCCAAAACATTTAATCTCCAAGTTCCATTAATTTAAATAATTAATTCACAACTTAATAGTTGATTTAATCTTGTTTCATTTTACATGTTTGAGTTTTATGCCATAAAATCCACATATTAGTGTTCCCGGGTCTTAATAACATGTTTGGGACCTTAATAAATAAATCATATCGGGTCTAATCGGAAAACTTTCGGGGCAAAATCATCCCCAGCGCTCGAGCGCACCCAAACTGGGCTCGAGCGCTATCCAAACAACGCTCGAGCTCTATTTTCCAAAAAATGGTGCTCAAGCCATGTAAATAGGGCTCGAGCGCTGTTTCGTGAAAATAGCTTGAGAGGTTTGTTCTGAGTCCAAAAATCCGTTGTTTTGAGTCCTGAGATATACATCTATGTCCCATATACTTCCATTTATTAAAATCAAGCAATTAAACATCTATAAAGCAAGATTTACATCAATTAACACATTGATTTCCAAAATCATATAAACATGCACATGAACATACCTACACATATACATATCTTAGATTTAATCCTGATTTTTAACATGCAATTAGATTTAATCTTTCTGCTTAAAAGCCCTAAAGATGTACTAGAGATGCATAGAACACGGGATCAAAGGGGAAGAGTAGAACGAAGAACTTGCCTTACGATTTCCGGATCAAAAACTAAACTCCTCTTCTCTAAAGCCAGTAGCCTTCGGGTTGTCGTTGTCTGCTCCTACGAATCTGGTACTACACGTACATCCCTTATTTCTTCTTCCTTGGCTCGGCTACCTCGGCCTCTCGGTCTCTCTCTCTGTCAACCTCACGGCCTCTTTCTTGCCCCTCTCTGGTTTCTCTCCTCTTTTCTTTTCTTTTCCCCAGACAATAAATATATGTGTGTGTGTACACACACTAGATATATCCTATACCCTAACCCTAGTTCAAATACGCATCTGACATACAGAAAAAGAAAAAAACAAATAAAGATAATAGTAATTATAATAATAATAGGAATATATACACACACACACACACACATCATATATATATATACATATATGTATAACTCAATCCATGGGCCGATAATCCATACCCTACTATGCTTCCTTCCTAGTGGTCCAAGACCGTTCAAACCCCTAGTCCAAATCCATCACTTAAAGTAAAATAAATAAAACATTTAATTAAACAATTGAGCACATATTAATAAACAATTTAGTTAGCTACACAGATAATTAATTAATAAATAAAACAAATACTTACAAGCAATTAACATTTAAGTAGCAAACCATACAACCACATCAAATTAAACAAATTTAAATAAATCAAACGATAAACAAATAAGTAACCAATTAATCCAATTAAAAATGTAATTAAAAGTAAATAAATTCACCTCTAAAGATTAGGGTTATTATACGAACCCAACCCGAGTCCAGCTCGATTTTTCGTAGGCTTGGACAATTATTTTTACAATTAAGATTGAGTTTGGGTTGAAAAATTTCGACCCGAATTTAATTATGATTGGACTTGAGTTGACGTGCTAGCAACCTGAGCCTGAACTCGAATTCTAATATTATTTATATATATATTTTTAATTTTAAATATATTATATATAATATTTAAACTATTATTACCCTTTTTCTTTCCAACTTCCTTTTTTTAAATCTTAACTTATTGTATGTTAATATTTAAGAGAATTAATTTTATAAGAATTTGTTTGTAATTTATTAAAAATTCATAAAATGTATTTAAACTTTTTTTTTTGGTTTATGATTGAAGGGTTAGGAATGAGCTCGTTTAACATCTTATATAGCGGATTTTTAGAGTGAGTACGTTGCAAAGAGGTTATTTTTTGTTTTTGGCACATCACCTCAGCCTATCTCTATCATTTAGTTTTCATCTCTTTGTGTGATTTAAAGAAACCCGGTTTGGTCTTGTCTCCCTAGGAAACCCTAAGAAAGACGAGTTATACTTCAACATTAGTTAGAAGTAGGTAAGTAGATAATTCCTGTCAATCGAAGATAGGTTATGATTAACTGAAATTCATGAAACATCTTTCTTTAAATCTGAATTGAACGAATGTTACTGAGTTTAATTCCATATTATACATAAGTGTAGAAATCCCAAGGTTGAATAGTTTACCTGTGATGACCGTGTCATCTTTTTTTCTTTATTTTATTACTTTTTTTTGACATTCATTTTTTTAATTGTTTATTTATTTATTTTATTTTATTTAAATACTTGTTTATTCTTTTTCGTGTTACCTTAGGGTTTTGTAAAACCCGAGGTAGGGTTTGGTGTTCGGAATCGGTTTCTTGCATCTTATTCATTTACTTTATTTTATTTTATTGTCGATGCATAGTTTAATTGTGTAGAAAAACATGCTTATTCATTTTCATTTCCTAGGGGTATGATTGCATTTTTTTCAGAAAACATTTTCATTTTCTGGGGGCTTTGTGCGATTAATTTTTTTGAGATATTTTGCGTTAAGGACCTTTTTGTAAATTACGCTCTCCAAAGCCCTCACTCTCTCGGTTTGCTCTTTCTGGACCGAACACACCGTTCCGATCATCTCCGTGTTCTCGCCGTTCATAGCTTTCAATTTCAACGATTTAGCTCAGGTGTGCTCTCTATATTTACTGTTTTGCATCAGTTCTCTTAATTGATTTTAGGGTTAGGGTTTTTGATGTATGAAAAATTGAGATAAATAGCAATGAAACTGATATCGAAGTGAATGCCATCACTGGTTTATGTTTGTGTTTCGACACGATGCTCTTGACAGGATATACCTAAACAATGGGCAAAAGACCCCCACCAGATCCTGTGGCAGTGCTAAGAGGTCATCGTGCTTCCGTCATGGACGTATGTTTCCACCCATCTAAAAGCATATTATTCACCGGGTAGAAAATGAAATTCAGTTTTTATTATTTTAATTGCTCTTGGTTTGAAGTGTGTACACACACACACGCACACATATATATGTATGTATGTATGTATGAGTTATGAAGATTGACTTTAGCACAATTTAATTAAGTTGCACTGCAGGTCGGCAGATGGTGAGTTGCGCATTTGGGATACCCTCCAGCGTCGGACTATATCATCTGCATGGTAGTCTTCGTGTCAACAACTTTTTGATCTGTAGAATGCTATATATATGTATGTATTTATTATATATGAACCTTTTTCAAGACCGTGCTAATGGTATAAAAAAATTGATTACAGGGTGCACAGTGCAGCACATGGCATTATTTGTGTTGCAGCTAGTCCATTAATTGGATACAACAAAGTTGTGAGGTACATATTTCTATTTGCTTGTTTCTTTTGAGTTTTGAGGTGCAATTCTAAATTTGAATTATGCTCTACTGACAATTTGAATTGAACTTTATTGGGTTTGTCGCCTAATGGATGCATTGCTTATAGCCAGGGTAGGGATGGAACGGTGAAGTGTTGGGACCTTGAAGATGGGGGTTTATCCAGGTATTCAGCCTTTTCCCGGGCTTTACTGTTGATAATTAGTTATGGCAGTGAAGATAGCATATGGGCAATTATTGGATGTTGTTCGTGCCTTGACATGGGCAGTTTTTTGTAAATTAAAAATTTATTCATGCAAGCACTACTTGGCACATTAAGATGATGGCATGTTTGGCTGTTTTTCGAAAATGCACTTTCTCTTTCTGCTAAGCATTAGGAAAATGGGTCCACCCAGTAACATTTGAAAACACTTGCATCTTGCAGTCTGGAGGGCAGCCATTACTCATGAAGGGTAGTTGAACTTTTTGTATGCAGCATGTTTTCCTGTCTTCAAAAGGTTACATCACTGTCTTCGAAAGGTTAATGATGTAACATGAATTGTAAGAATTTTATTTACCCCAATGATACATTATTTACCTTATAAAATTTTCGCTTCCCCAACATGATATCAGTCTTAAGATTCACTATCTTCAAAAAGTTAATGATGTAACATGACTCATAAGAATTTTATTTACCCCAATGATACATTATTTACCTTGTAAAATTTTCCACTCCCCAACATGATAGCAATATCAATCTTAAGATTTTATTTTGAAAATGTTAAAATCATCTAAAAGAGATTGAACAACATTCTGAAAAAAACTCCTGATAAGACTTTAATAGCTAAAAAAGGTCTTACCGTTTCGTCTTCTTGTGGGAATGTCATACAAGCCTCTAGAGAGACGCTCTTTATGATCAAAGCATATCATGTTAGGTGCATCAGTTAATTACACTCATTAGCTTAGCTGTCCTTTTCTATTTTAAATATCTTTTCCTAAATTGGAGAAGGCACTAATGTGAACTAGTTTCATAGGCTAGGGGGTACAAGCTTTTCAGATGTCTAGTAAAAATCTTCTGAAATGGTGAAAGGTTGATGACAATAATTAAGTACACTTAGTTGTACAGTGAAACTATGAGAGAATAATTGAACAAAGATTAAGGAAAGAAACATCAATATCTGATAACCAATTCAAATTTATGCGAGGTAGATCCACTATGGAATCCATATACTTGATACGACAACTAATAGAAGAAATAGGAGTAAACAAAAAGACTTGCATACGATTTTCATAGATATAGGGAAGATGTATGATAGAGTGCCAAGGGACATAATTTGGTGGGCCCTACAAAGAAAATTAGTACCTGTAAAACTTATAAATCTTATTCAGGATATGTATAATGAGACATTGACAAGAGTTAACCCTACATGCATCCAGGGATGTTAATTTAACCTGGCCCGCTCCTATTGGAATGGGTTTGGGATTGCCCTAATAAGGTTAGGGGTGGGTTTGGGAAGAGAGTTTAAAACCCAAAAATCTGGAACCCGCCCCGATTAATAATAAATATATGAACAAATGTTTTTTTTATTAGTTATATATATATATTTCCTCTCTCTCTCTCTCTGTTTTCATTTTTTTTCTTTTTCATAATTGGTGTTGTATTAAGAAAGGATATGGAAATACAGGCGCACAGAGGGCAAACCCTCATAGAAATAGTAAAAACAGTAAAGAAACAGGCATTAAAGAAAATGCCCATTTCCAATACAGAAAGAAGAAAGCAAAAAGAAAATTATAGGAGAAGATCAGTAATTGATGCATTCTGGACATCAAGCACATCAAATAACAACTGTCTAGCCACTGCGTCTGGATTCCTAGGAGTAGCACCATGCAAACGAGCATTTCTTTCTTGCCAAATCCCCCAAAAGACAGCAGCAAACAGACTCTTTAATTGTTTGGAATCATGATAATGTTGTCTGAACCAAGAGTACAGATCCCAAATGGTGAACACCCCAGCAAATGGATCCATATCCCAAGCCCAAAACAGCACCAAACCAGGACCAAACTGTTTGATCAAACTGACATGACAGAAACAGATGATCTCTAGTATCAATTGCAGCAAGGCAGTTTGAGCATCTAGCGGCAATATTTTTTTTACCTCTTATGTAAATTAGTCATTGATGGAAATCTATCAAGCAAAATAAAAACTGCAGTAGCAGGCCAACGACGCCTAGCTTTACCCCAGCAGAGTGTCAGTCCACCTCATCAAAGGAAATCCTGCAATTCTGCCATGCCTTGACTGGCATAGAAAATCGACCACCATCCCAAAGATAAGTATCTTGACTGGCATGAATAGAAACAGTAGCCAAATACTCCCTTAGTTGCTGAAACAAAGAATCCTGCACAAACATCAGATTCCATCTACCATTTTTTTTGGATAAGTATCAGATTCCATCTACCATCATTCAGCAAACAATCAACAGTTGCATCCCTAGGAAAAGGAAGTCCTCTGACCACTCCATGGCCAAATCTCTGGCCTAGAGTTTGACCATCACGCCAAGGAATAGATGAATAGACTTGCCTTCACTGACTGAAAACCTCACATTCTGTAACACAATTTCTCTAACTGCCAAAAGATTTTTCCAAATGATGGAATGAGAAACTCTTGGAATGGCATTCCAATAGGAGACAACTGGACTATCATTGTTAAAGATTTTTCTTAAATTTTAACAATTTTTTGTCATTATGATTGTTAAATAATTAACTATACTTAAATCTTTTTACAAAATTTATCTTAAATTTGTTTGAGCTTGAATTATTTTTCTTAAAATATATGTAACCGGGGTGCCTGAAACTCGCCTTGACTTCGATGTGGGGCGGGTCAGGCAGGCTTGGGAAAAGATTTTTTATTTGTGGGACGGGTTTGGCAAAGGGGTGCTCGTTGAGATTTCCCAATAAAAGTGGGATTACACCAAGGATGGTGTTAAGTCCTTACCTATTTGTGATAGTATTAGACAAAATAACAAAAGATATACAAGAAAAATAGTATTAGACAAAATAACAAAAGATATACAAGAAAGCATTCCATGGTGTATGCAGAGGCGGCACAATATAATTTGAGGCATTGGGCGAAAAATATAAGAGTGGCCTTTTAATATGTAATATATTAATATCAAATAATAGTTAATAATATTTATTTAAAAATCACTTATTAAAAAAAAAAAAAGTCAACGTGGTTTGAAAGTCTCTGGTTTGAAAGTCAACGTGGGCAAGAGTGTGCTTGTCCCTGTGGGGGAAGTTCAGGAGGTGGACACTTTGGCTGCTGTTTTAGGGTGTGGGACATAACGTTTCCCTATCTCGTATTTGGGTTTGCCGCTAGGGGACTCGGCCAGGAGGGTGGGAAGTTGGGACCCGGTGATTGAGAGGGTCGAAAGAAGATTAGCTGGTTGGAAAAAGCAATATCTCTCCAAGAGTGGTAAAGTTACGTTAGTGAAAAACATCTTATCAAGCCTTCCAACGTATTTTCTTTCGCTCTTTCGGGTTCTAGCCTCGGTTGTTGGACGTCTTGAGATACTACAACGAAACTTCCTTTGGGGGGGTTGTGGAGAGGAGTTTAAGTATCATCTTGTCAGATGGGAGCAGGTTTGCAGGCCATTTCAGTTGGGCGGGCTTGGGATTAGGAGATTGGCCCCCTTTAACAGTGCCCTCCTCGGTAAGTGGCTTTGGAGATTCGGCAGTGAAAGGCATAGATTATGGAGGATGGTTATTTCTTGTCACTTTGGGGAGGAGAGAGGGGGGTGGTCAGCTAGTGGAGTAGGGGTGTGGAGGGCCATTGGAAAAGGATGGGACGAGTTTTCCAAACATGTTAGATTCAAAGTTCGGGATGGAAGGTTTGTCCGGTTTTGGGAGGATCCCTGGTGCGCGAATAGGCCTTTGGCTCTTTTGTTTCCAAGGCTGTTCAGGATTGTTGTTGACAAACATGCTATGATTGCTAACTGCTATCGCCTTGATAGCGGGAGGTTATTTTGGGATGTGCAATTCCGGCGATCTTTTCAGGATTGGGAGTTGGATGATGTCACTGGCTTGTTGGCTCTCTTGTACAGACAGGAGGTGGAGGGCACTAGTGTTGACTCCCTGATTTGGGTGCCCTCTTCTCAGGGGATGTTCCAAGTCCGGTCTTTTTTTGTGTGCCTCTCTGGTTTTCATGGTGTTTCCTTCTCGTGGAAGACGGTGTGGTTGTCCAAGGCGCCTCTTAGGGTGGCCTTTTTTGTGTGGACTGCAGCTTGGAGTAAGATTTTAACTTTGGATAACTTGAGGAAGCAAAGACATATTATTGTTAATCGGTGTTGTCTTTGTAAGTTGAATGGGGAGTTAGTGGATCACCTGCTGCTGCATTGTCCTGTGGCTCATGATTGTTGGAGTCTTCTTATCAAAAAAAAAAAAAAAAATGATTTTTGGAGTCTCATTTTTGATTTGTTTGGTATTCATTAGGTCATGCCTCGGACATCTCGGGAATTGCTGGATATTTGGAGGGGCCAATGGGTGGGGGCTCAGGCGAGAGTCTTTTGGAGGGGTAACCCCCTTTTGTGTTTGGTGGAGCATCTGGAAAGAGCGGAATAGAAGATCTTTTGATGGGAAGGAGTCCTCCATTGGGGTGTTAAAATTTTTTTTATTACTCTTTTTTGTTGGGGTTGGGGGAGAGATTTTTCCTCGATTGAGGATATTGTGGACTTTTTGGGCTCCTTGAGATCATAGTTTCAGTTTTTTGTATAGCTTGGGACGCGTTCCCCTTTTGAACGCCTTCTAATACATTTTAATTATCAAAAAAAAAAAAAAAAAAAAAAAAAAAAAATTTTAAAAATCACCCTTCTTGATTTTTGAGATGTAAAGTTTTGTTATAATATAGCCAATTCATTTAATCTTTCTTCTGACATAGTTAATCTTTCTTTTAATATTTTTTTTGTTAATAATGTGTAATATATATATATATATATATATTGATAAGTATTAATAATGCGTAATATGTAATATATTAATGTAAAAAAATAGTTAATAATATTTATTTAAAAATCACCCTTCTTGATTTTTGAGATGTAAAGTTTTGTTATAATATAGCCAATTCATTTAATCTTTCTTCTGACATAGTTAATCTTTCTTTTAATATATTGTTGTTAATAATGTGTAATATAT